CAACACATTGATTTCTGCTCAAGAGGTGAAGAAGACGGGCATTCCTTGTCCATACCCAAGAGAGTGGGAATCGATCCCATATCCGGCGAAGTTTAATCTAATTAACTTCACGCCGTTTAATGGGATGGGTTCCCCCACCCAACATTTGATTTATTTCAAATCACACCTGGGAGTAATATCCGGCAATGAGCCTCTGATGGTGCGGTCATTCGTCGGCACTCTTCGCGGAGCCGCCTTCGATTGGTATCGCCGTCTCAAGCCAGGTAGCGTGAATAGTTAGGATGACATGGAAATCAAATTCCTCGCCAACTTCTTCGACGACGACACAGAGATATCCAGTGGGTCATTGCTGGATGAGAAACAGAAAGACGGAGAATTGGTCGACACCTTCGTCAAGAGGTTCCGGAAGGCTTAGCATGTGCTTTATGCACGTGTTGCCGCTGTCATGCATCTCAAAATTTGCTGCGCATTTTGGGGTCGTGACAGTTGTGGTATCAGAGCCATAGGTTCGACATTAGAAACCTTATAGGATGCGTTAGCATAGAATATGTATATCTGTTCAAGAGGTTCCGGAACAAGGCGATGAACTGCCGGGACCCGATCACCGAGGAATTCATCCTCCAGACTTACCACAACAGCCTCGCACTGGACGTGTTGGAAGCAATGGGGACAGCACCGTCCAAGACATGGAAGGATCTGAAGGTCCGAGGAGAGCAAGCCGAGCGATTCCTAAGAAGGAAAAAGGCGGAGAGATGCCAACAGGTGAATAATGCTCCACAACAGAATTTCGTCCCACGGGGGAAAGGTAAGGCACATGCTAATGCAGTTGATGCTCCAATCTAGCTATACAACCTCAATAGACAACACTTGGGAATCCAATCAAGAAGACTGGGAATATGATTCCGACGAGACCGACCCAGATGAGATTTTGGCTAATCATGAGATAACCAATTCCTCTGATATCGAGATTGTAGAAATCATATCAATAGATTCTGCTGAGTCCGAGACTAATCCCTTTGATGAGGATGAGCCGGTGGTAGAAGTTATTCCCATAGAGTCCTCGCCCTCTGAAATAATTTTGCTTTCATCTGATCCTTCCGATATGGAGTCCCATGTAGCCCAGGTTCCTAATAATGACCAAGAACTTACCTCCTCTGAGGGTGAGTCGAGTACTCTAGGCATTGGTCCAGACCTCGATCTTGAAGGATGGGGGACTAGCGGTATAGATCCAGATCCAGTGTCTGATTCTGATAATAAAGACCTCGATCTTGAAGGATGGGGGACTAGCGGTATAGATCCAGATCCAGTGTCTGATTCTGATAATAATAACCAGGACTCAGAGGAGACCGAACCAACTGAGGCGGAGTCTAACTCTAGCAAATCCTCTTCCTCGAGGAAGTAGAATGTAAAAATTAGAAAAATTTCGTAAGATCAATATATGAGTTTCTAGTTACTCTCTAGTGTATATGGGAATTTTGGGCAGAAATATGTAAACCCATATACTAGGATATATGTATGGAATGAAAAGTTAAATATTAATAAGAGACTTTTAGTTGTAACTACTGATTTGTATTGTTATTTTTGAAATTTTTAGGGGTTATTAATATATTGTTTGCTTTATAATTAGATGACTAGGAACAACACGAACACTCCTTCAACACGGGAAAGTGATTTGCACCAGACTTTGGGACAAATGTTTGGTGGTAGAAATGTACGTGGATCTGGTTCCGAAGAAAATCAAATGGACCCTAATGTTATGTTGCAGATGATGCAAAATCTCACCACTATAATGCAAAATCAGCAACAACAACTTAGCAAACAGCAAGACACTCGAGATGTTGATTATCCTCGATTACGAAGTGGTATGGCGGAATTTAAGAGGTTGACACCGCCTACCTTTGAAGGAAGTGTTGATCCTATGGTAGCTGAAGACTGGATCACAGAGATGGAGAAAGTCTTTACTTATATGAAGTGTCCTGATGGAGAAAAAGTGGCTTATGCAATATATATGTTAAAAGGTCGTGCATATGGCTGGTGGCAAATGCAGCAGAGGATTTTGGGAGATGGTGCTGACCAATTGTCTTGGGAAGAATTTAAGAAAGTCTTTTATGAGAAATACTTTCCAAAGACTGTTCGCCAGCAGAAGGAGAAGGAATTCCGTGAGCTGAAGCAAAATGATAAGACTGTAGCTGAATATGAGGAGGAATTTACTTATCTATCCAAGTTTGCACCACAATTTGTTACAACAGAAGAAGATAGAGCACGTCGTTTTGAGGAGGGTCTGCGACCCCAGATAAGATTTCAAGTGAGCTCATTTGAACTCCCTACTTATGCAGCGGTATTAAAGAAAGCTTTAGTAATTGAAAAGGAACGAAAAGAAATCTTCTCAGTTGATAATCACAAGAATGATAATATGAAGAAGAGGTTCAGATCGGACGGACGTGGAGGTCACAACAAGAACTGGCAAAACAAAAGACACAGTGGAGATTTAAAAGGAAAGCAGACTATGAATCAGAAGTCGATGAGATGCACCATTTGTGACAAGCCTAATCATGAAGCTAAAAATTACTGGAGAGTTACAGGTGCTTGTTTGAGGTGTGGCCAAAAGGATCACAAGATTGCAGATTGTCCTAAGTTGAATGAAACATCAGGTCAAAATACATCTCAACGTGATCAGCGTCCCCAAGTGAAGGCACGAGTTTACTCTATAACCGAGCAAGAGGCTCTGGCGAATAATGATGTGGTGTCAGGTATTATACCTATATTTTCTACTTTTGCTCGAATACTATTTGATTCTGGAGCTTCACATTCCTTTATTGCTGCACAGTTTGTTAAGAAAAACAAACTACCATGTGACACCCTACAACAAGAATTACTTGTTAGTACACCTGGGGGTAATATATTAGTATCAAATCAGGGTTGTAAGGGGAAAATTAATATTCTCGACAATGAGCTTCCAGCAGAACTAATTATGCTGGAAATGCATGATTTTGATATCATATTAGGGATGGATTGGTTATCCTTAAATCATGCCTCTATTTTGTGTCGAGAAAAGAAGGTGATATTTAAATTTCCGGGTCAACTAGAATTCTGTTTTGAGGGGTGTAAATCCCGAGAAACCTTGAAAATCATCTCAGCCCTTAAAGCTTACCGGGCACTGAGAAGTGGATGCATGGGCTATTTAGCTTCGGTTGGAATTAACAATGAAGAAAAACCAAGCTTAGAAGAGATATCAGTTGTCAGTGAATTTTCAGAAGTGTTTCCAGAAGAACTTCCAGCTCCTGATAGAGAGATTGAATTCTCAATTGACTTAATACCTGGTACAAGTCCAATTTCCAAGGCTCCTTATCGTATGGCACCAGCTGAGTTGAAAGAACTTAAGGTGCAATTGCAAGAACTTTTAGATAAAGGCTTCATTCGACCTAGTGTGTCACCCTGGGGTGCGCCAGTATTATTTGTAAAGAAGAAAGATGGTAGCATGAGATTATGTATTGACTTTCGTGAATTAAATAAGGTAACCATACGGAACAAGTATCCCTTACCAAGAATTGATGATCTATTTGATCAATTACAAGGAGCTCAAGTATTTTCAAAGATTGATCTCCGTTCTGGGTATTATCAGTTAAAGATCAAACCAGAGGATGTGCCAAAAACTGCATTTCGAACCCGTTACGGTCATTATGAATTTCTAGTATTACCATTCGGGCTCACAAATGCACCTGCCGCATTTATGGACCTTATGAATAGGGTGTTTAAACCATTCTTGGATCGGTTTGTTGTGGTATTTATCGATGATATCCTAATTTACTCAAGAAGCGAAGAAGAGCATAGAGAACACCTGAGATGTGTACTGCAAACACTAAAGAGAGAACAATTATATGCAAAACTTAAGAAATGCGAGTTCTGGTTAGAGAAAGTAACTTTCCTTGGACATGTAATCTCTAAGGAAGGGATTTCTGTAGACCCTGAAAAGATAAAAGCTATAACTGATTGGGACAGGCCTGCTAGTGTGACGGAAATCCGTAGTTTTCTTGGTATGGCTGGCTACTATAGAAAATTTGTAGAAGGATTCTATCCGTAGTTTTCTTGGTATGGCTGGCTACTATAGAAAATTTGTAGAAGGATTCTCTCGTATTGCCTCATCCCTGACTCGCCTTACCCAGAAAGGAGTTAAATTTATTTGGTCTGATGAATGTGAGAGAGGCTTTCAAGAGTTAAAAAGAATGTTAGTGTCTGCTCCGATACTTGCATTACCCTCTGAAAATACATGCTTTGCTATTTATTGTGATGCCTCTAGAAGAGGACTTGGATGTGTTCTTATGCAAAATGAAAGGACAATACATGCGGATTTGAGAGAATGTCTTTTATGGATGGTTTCTCAGGATATAACCAAATCAAGATGTACACAGATGATGAGAAGCATACAGCGTTCAGAACACCCCTTGGTGTATTCTGCTACACGGTGATGCCATTCGGTCTAAAGAATGCAGGCGCCACATACCAACGAAAGAATTACTTGTTAGTACACCTGGGGGTAATATATTAGTATCAAATCAGGGTTGTAAGGGGAAAATTAATATTTGGAACTGTCTCATTCATGACCTGGAACTGGCGGCAGTAGTGTTTGCTCTAAAGATTTGGAGACATTATTTATATGGTGAACATTGTAAAATATATACTGACCACAAGAGTTTGAAATATATATTCACCCAAAGGGAGTTAAATTTGCGGCAAAGAAGATGGTTGGAGCTTCTAAAGGATTATGACATTACCATCAATTATCACCCTGGCAAGGCAAATGTTGTTGCTGATGCCTTGAGCCGCAAGAATACATGCAATCTAGCATATTTAGTTACTTCTCAAAGAAAAATATTGGAGGAATTGGATCGTACTGGAATTGAAATTAGAATTCATCAAATGGGAGTTAAATTAGCCAATATGGTGATACAACCTTCTTTGATAGATGAAGTTAAAGCAAACCAACAGAAGGATCCTCAACTAGTAAAGATAAAGAAAGAGGTGGAAGAAGGTACTCGAAGAGAATTTAAAATACATAAAGATGGGTCATTGATGTTTGGAAATAGAATTTGTGTGCCTGATATACCAGAGATAAAGAAGAAGGTTCTGAAAGAAGCACACCACTCTCTGTATACCATGCATCCTGGATCAACTAAGATGTATAAAGATTTAAAAGAAATCTATTGGTGGAATAACATGAAGAGAGAAATTGCTATTTATGTTTCAGAATGTCTTACTTGCCAACAAGTAAAGGCTGAACACCAAAGACCAGCTGGTTTAGTTCAAAATTTGGACATACCAATGTGGAAGTGGGAAAAGATCACCATGGATTTCATCACCGGCCTTCCTAAGACTTTGATGAAGAATGATGCTATATGGGTGATTGTTGATCGATTAACTAAGTCAGCACACTTTCTACCTATCAATATGAAATTTTCACTAGAAAAGCTGACTAAATTATACATCAAGGAGATAGTGAGACTGCATGGAATGCCCATTTCAATAGTATCAGATAGAGACCCTAGGTTCACATCAGAATATTGGAAAAGTGTACATAGAGCTCTTCAAACTAAACTAAATTTTAGCTCAGCATACCATCCACAGACGGACGGCCAATCAGAAAGGACAATTCAGACACTGGAAGATATGCTGAGGTGTTGTGTACTAGAAATGAGAGGATCATGGGAAGATTATCTGCCCCTGGCAGAATTTGCATATAATAACAGCTATCAAACTAGTATTCAAATGGCACCATATGAACTTCTTTATGGAAGAAAGTGCAGGTCTCCTGTCTATTGGGACGATGTTGGAGAAAGAAAACTTATTGGACCAGAGTTGGTACAACAAGCAATTGATAAAGTTCAATTAGTGCGGGAACGCCTTCGCACAGTACAAAGTCGTCAGAAGAGTTATGCTGACCAAAGAAGAAGAGAATTAGAATTTAAGGTGGGCGATCATGTTTTCTTGAAGGTTTCGCCTACCCGAGGAGTGAAAAGATTTGGAATCCAAGGGAAGTTAAGTCCTAGATTCGTTGGTCCTTTTGAAATTCTGGAAAGGATTGGTCCAGTGGCATACAAATTAGCATTACCGCCATCTCTATCTGGAATACATGACGTATTTCACGTATCGATGCTGCGAAAGTTCATCCGAGATTCTAATGAGATAATCGAATTATCTCCAGTGGAGCTCAAACCTGACTTGACATATGAGGAGAAACCTGAACGCATTGTGGATTCTAAGGAACAAGTACTTAGGCGTCGAACCATCAAATATGTGAAAGTACAATGGAAGAATCATTCAGAACGAGAAGCTACTTGGGAAACTGAAGATTCCATGCGAGAGAAATACCCCGAGCTCTTTATACATTAAGGTACGTTAAGTTTCGAGGACGAAACTTTTTATTAGGAGGGGAGAGTGTAACAACCGCCCCAAGTTAAAAAAAAAAAAACAAATGTATAAAACAAAAACTTACTGTTCAATATCACGCGCCTCCTCATTACGCCGCCCACGTGATACGACACTAATTTTTTTAAAAAAATTTTCCTC